TTTGTTTTTTGAGACAGGGTTTCTCTGTAGCTTTGGAGCCTGTCCTGGAACTAGCTCTTGTAGACCAAGCTGGTCTCGAACTCACAGAGATCCGCCTGCCTCTGCCTCCCAAGTGCTGGGATTAAAGGCATGCGTCACCACCGCCTGGCTCCGCTTGTGAATCTTGCAGGTCACTCATCCTCTGGACTTTTGGGCTAGGGCCTGCCAGTTTTAGGATGGCTGTGGCTCAGGATGGCAGGCATGATCTCAAGAGGTAGCTGGCAGTAATTTCAGAGATACTGGATGTCCTTGTAAGGTACAAATAGAAATGTCTCCAGGGAAACTGTTCCTTCACAAAGCCTTGAGACTTCAGAGACTGCATGGCCTTCATTACATGAAAGGTGGGCACATTCTTGCCTGCCAGCTCAGGGTATTTGGGCATGTAGACATTTTCTCTTGGCAACCATCACTCCTTTCTTAAAAAGGAGTTCGTAATCTAGCCCTTAAGGATCAACATCATGACAGCTACAGGGTCCAAGATGGAGGCTGGAAGGGAATACTTAATTTTTAAGAGTTTTTATATTTTAAAGAGACTGAAATTTTAAAGACTGTGGGACTTAAAAGATTATGATTTTCATGTGAGATCGTGGGGATGAATGACAAAGAAAGGCATGTGGCTTAATAGAGATGTGATTGTGTGTCAGGTTGACAAACGGTCAGCTGTACTGGCTGGTCTTGTGTGTCAACTTGACACAAGCTAGAGTCATCAGAGGAAGGAGCCTCAGTTGAGGAGATGCCTCAGTGAGATCCAGCAGTAATGCATTTTCTCACTTAGTGATCAGTGAGGGTGGGTCCGGCCCATGGTAGGTGGTGCCATCCCTGGACTGGTGGTCCTGAGTTTTATAAGAAAGCAGGTTGAGCAAGTCATGGGAAGCAAGCCAGTAAGCAGCTCCCTTCCATGGCCTCTGCATCAGTTTCTACCTTTGGAATCCTGCCATTTGAGTTCCTGTTCTGACTTCCTTCAGTGATGAACAACAATGTTGTTCAACAATGTTGAAGTGTAAGCCAAACAAACCCTTTCCTCCCCAATTTGCTTTTTGGTCATGGAGTTTCATTGCAGCAATAGAAACCCTAACTATGACACTGTATTAGTATTTTGGTTTCCGTGTGTGTGTGTGTGTCTCTGTGTGTGTGTGTGTCCTGGAACTAATGCCTGAGGATGTGAGGGAAGACTGTAGTTATCTGTGTATGTTTGTATGATGTGCCTGTATATATGAATGTTCACATAGCACATGTGCTCATGTGTGTACGTTCAGATCAGACTTTGTTGGATTTTTTTTTTTTTTTTTACTACATTCTATACTTAGGCATGGTCTCTGGAGAACCTAGAGGTCACTAATTAGGGTAATCTAGAGAGTCAGCTTTCCCGAAAATGCCATTGCCACCTCTGAGGTGCTAAGAGTGAGTCTAAGTAGGCTGCCATACCAAGCTGGCATTTACTTGGGAGACTCAAACTTTGGTTCTTAGCACTTTATCCACTGAGTCGTGTCTCCAGCTTTGGAATTAATTTTTAAGATGTGATAGTATTAAGGGAGGTCACTATTTTTCTTTTCTTTCTTTTGTTCTTGAGACCAAGCCTGTGTATTCCTAGCTGGCCTGGAACTCACCTTGATACACAGACCAGGCTGGTCCAGAATTCAGAGATTTTGGAACTGAAGGCCTATACCACCACGTCTGGTGAAGGTTCTTTCTTATTGGAAATTCATCTTCTCAGTGGGGTCCCCATGGTGTATTTAACACGACTTCTTTCCCATCCCCGAGCACCCCTACTTCTGCTTCACTGCTTCACCTTCACCACGAATATGCATCTTTCTGTCACATCATTGAATCTACTCATCCCCTTACTGTTTCCTTGGTGGCATCGGGAGTGCGCCCTCGGCGACTGTTGACAGTTTGTATGCAGAAGTTTCAGGGTGAGTGCTACTAATAATGCAGTCACATTCTCTCTCCTGGCTTTGCTGATATGAGTTTCATTGGAGTTCGGGCCAGGATTCCTGAGGAAGATGAGGTAGGCTGAATAGACACACTGTCCATTCACTGAGCATAGCACCCATCTCTCCAAGGACCACAGCAGAGTAGGAACCCTGAGGCTCTCGATTTTCTCACCTGCTAAGTAGTCTCAAAGTATTCTGAGAGTACAGATGAAAGATGCAGTGCTGAGGAGTTAATTTCTCTATGGTGTAAAAAGACAGGGTTTTTACCTAACAGAAGTTAAAATAAAAACACAAAACGTATTTCTGCCTGACACCTTGTATTTGTTAAAGGCAAGACCTGAAATCAAGTCCAGGTTTGTTCTAGGGACTTGGCAGATGCAGTTTTGCTGTATTGAGTCTTTATGCACACCAGTACTAAGAAGTGAAGGGCTGGAGGGATGGCGAAGCTTCAGGGTGCACACTGCTGCAGCACAGGACCTGATTCTGTTCCCAGCACTCACATCCATCAGCTCACAATCATCTCCAGGGATCCAAAAGTTTATTCTGACTTCTACAGACACCTGAATACACAGCCTAGACACACATACACACTAAAAAACAAAACAAACAAAACGAGCCAGGCAGTGGTGTTGCACACCTTTAACCCTAGCACTCAGGAGGCAGAGGCAGGCAGATCTCTGAGTTTGAAGCCAGCCTGGTCTACAGAGTGAGTTCCAAGACAGCCAGGGCTACACAGAGAAAACCTCTTAAGGAAAAAAACAAAGCAAAACAAAAACAAATATCAAAAACCCAAACAACACCCCCAAGCCCACAAACCAACCAACTAAACAAACAAACAAATCCCCCAAACAAGACAGTTTTTGGTGTCAAGTTTTGACTTCTCCTGGGTAATGTGATGAGCATTGCAGAGCAAGCCCAAGCCCTCAGTTTGATGCTCAGCACAGGCTCTCCACCGTGCAAAACGCCACTCATACACATGAATGTTTTCTCTCAACATCCTTGCCCTCAGCTGTGACCTCTCAGTACCAAGTGCCCAGTTCTATGGCCCAGTTCTTTCCTAACCGCTAGTGGAACACACGGCTGTCAGGCCTTCTCTTGGTCTATCTGTAACACGACCTTGCTTGGCTCACCAGAAAAGGAGATGATAAAAGCTGTCTCAAATTTACTGATGAACTCAATGACATGGATAATTTACAGAAAGCACAATCCTGGTATTGGTACAGGCTTTCATAAATGCTCTGTATAATATATATTTAGTTTCCCGACTTCTGGGTGAGTCACTGTCTAACAGTCCTTGAGGCTGAGGTCTAGCTCACTCTTAGAGCACTTGCTCAGCAAAGTGTTGGCCCTGTTCGTCCCTAGCATTGCAAACAATGCAACACCCCCTCCCACTGCCTAATCATCTCCAGTTAAGGTATGGGTAACAATATGAATCAAGTGTGAATTTCTTCACTTGGTTTCCAGTTTTCCTATTAAAAGTGACTTAAAAAAAAACACGTTTGTTTATTTAATATGTGTCGAGTTAATGGCCATATCGCCTGTGTGGAAGTGAGGGGATAACCTGCAGGGGTGGGCTCTCCTCTTCATTATGGAGTGGTAACCAGGCTTGTAAAAAGCCAAGCCTTTACTCAGAGTCATCTCCCTCTTGGGCCCCTAAAAGCAGGATCCAAAAGAGAGCTCCACATTCATCTTCACAACATTGCGTACAATTGCAAATGATGAAGTAGCCCAGGTGGTAAAGACACACTGGCGAATTCCACAGCTTTAAAGAAGGCACTCTGGCACGTGCTGCAACAGGCACTGACTAATCTAGGGCTTATCAGGCTGTGGAAAATGACCCAGTCACAAAAAGACCAAGACAATGTGAAGCCACTTTCAAAGGACTCAGTCTTCAAATTCATAGAAAGTAAAATGGTTGTTAAGAGCCGGAGATAAAAACTTGGAGGGGGGGCGGTATTACGATTTAACCGGTCCAGGCTTGCTTTGCATGACAAAAAGAAAGGTGGAGGGAGGCTGGCTACACAACAATATAACTTCACTGAACTATACAATAAAAATAAATTAGCCGTGGTTAATTTTGTTAATAAAAAAACATTCAGAACATCCCCTTTCGTTGTACTTATCAAACTTAGGGTTTTCCTTTTCTTTCCCTCTCCCGCAGAATACTCTTCACACATTGTTCTCCCAACACATCACCCACTTCCGCTTGACCCGGTGGTGTTTCTTTTCTAGAATGGTCTTCACAATTCCCGCACTATCAATAAACTTGCTTGCATTTGCATCTTAAAGATGCTACTTCTATATCCGATCATGAGTTCCATTCAGCACAGGAATGAACCCCACTCTTCCGCTCCAATCCTCTAGTCTTTCAGCACCACACAGAGGGTCTCACTTGGATTTATTGTTTTAGCTTGTCTTTCCAACCTAACTCCCAAATCCCGAGTACCAGACTGCATTATCGCACATCTCCCAATACATACATACACATTCCCGCTCAGAAGACTCCCCGTAAACACCCAATCGCGATGGAGGAAGCCAATCGACACTTTAAAGGTGATTTAAACCAGTGTGCAACTTCAACACAAAAGCTTTTAAAGCCAAATTGTTGGGGAGCACACCGGCGTAAGGCGGCAAAACCGGGTGTCCTTAGGCTCCTTGAAGGCAGCGCTGTAGTTTGCATAGCCTGAACACTTTAGAGACATTTTTTGAGGGCCACGCGGGAGGGCGAGGCAACACTGACTGTAGTGAAGTAACTTAGGAAAGAAACAGACACGAGCTCGCTGGAGTCGCCGAAGCCTTCAACTCGCGGCTCGGTTTGCAAAACCGCGAAGAACGGTTTAAAAGCTGTGCTTCCGGTAGCGGCACTTGCCCGCATGCTCAGAAAAGCGAACCGAAGGGCACTGCCAGCTACGGGAAGTCGTGGGGGACAATTTCCTTCAACGAAATCGTCCGATGAATAGCGGGCACCCCCTAACCCAGAAGTGAAAGACTGTTCGCTTCACTATCAGACACCCCGACGATCAAAGGAAGTTCCGGCTGGAAGACTTGTCCACGCTCTCCTGACTCCTCTCTAGCTCTTTTATCTCACAGCCTTCTCCAAGTCTTGCATGAGTTTTGCTTCCACTCCTCAGAGGGTCCAAATATTCCTTGGTCACCTTTTTCATTAAAGCACCTTTACGCTACGGGTCGCCATTAGAGTCAATCAACATCCTCCTAGCGAGGAAAGGGAGCCGGGAGCTGCCAGTGCGCCGGGCGTTATCATAGAGAGGAAGCCACCTCTCTGGGCTGAGTTTGCAGTCTCTATGGTTCAGCTGAGATGGTGGCGGTAAGGGGAACACAGTAAGGCCGCACTGCGCAGGCGCAGTCGGCTTCTCACTTTTTTTTTTTTTTTTTTTTTAATCCCCGCACCAAGCGCTTAACCTCATTGGGGTGGAGGAGAAGGCGGCGGCTGTCCGGTCCGCAGCCCCAACAGTTGTGAATAATAGAGCTGTAAGTACCGGGTTAAAGACGAAGAATGCTCAGACTGGAGTCCACCCGAGGGCCCTGCTCCCTTTCCGGGCGGCAGCGGGCGCAGGGTCCGGGTGGGGACGGTGTCCGGCGCTGTCAGTCGCTCTGGGGTGCACTTTTGGGGGAGGGGGCGGCCCTGGGATGGGATCGGGGTGAGAACCCAGGATGCGCGACTGCTAGGTCCAATCCTGATCGCAGGCTGCTTTGCAGAGGGGAGGTGGGGCGGCTGTGGGGTCAAGCCTGGCTTTGTGTGCCTGTCTCTTTCAGACCCCACCCCGGGGCCCCTTCTTGACCCGGAGTCTCCCCTGGCCGTCTTGGGAGACGCCAAAGCAGTCTGGGGTCTCTTTGAAAAGAACCCACATTGCACAGAGCGGGAAGGGGCTCCAGGAGAAGAAACCCCACTCCAACTAGTCATCGGCGAGTGATGGGTGTGGAGAAAGATTCAGAGGGAAGAAGGGGTTGTCGGGGAGGCAGGCCGGGCGGCCGGGGCTCCCAGCCCGGGCCAGACAAAAGCGGAGCAGCCGGGGCCCAGCGGGATGCAAAAGGTCCCCTTGGTCCCCAGGAGGGCCCCGCTGCGAGGGTCTTGGCTAAGCTGGAAAGAGCGGACAAGTGCTGAGTTAAGGCTGTTCAGCCTTCTCAACTTGCCTTTGTTGTTCTTTGGTATTGGCAGAGCCGCTCTGACGAAGATGAGTGTGTGATCTTGCATGTTAGTCTGGTTGGGTACAATGGAGCAAATTGAATTTTGCTTTCCATTTTATGAGCTGCTTGGATGAGTGTGGGGTTTTCCAAAGTCAAACTCATTATATAAATATCTATAGATTTTAAAAATAGTTGTGTTTATTTCTTGAAAGAATAGTTAGATGGAGCCCTAAAGCTTGTTGTGTCACGTCGAGTGGATTTCTGTTAGGGGATTCGTTCGTGAGACACTGACCTAATGGTGGAACCTGTGAGTTCTTTAAACCTGATACTTTAATTTGTGATGTGGCGCTGAGTGCTTTGGATGCTCTAGTCCTTTGGGAGTCAGTGATGCGGGAGAGTCAAGAGTGATGCAGTTGCCTGCTACCCCGTACCTTGCACCAGATTCAGGTGCCACTGGCTAGTATTCTAGCCTTAGAAATTATTATTTTTATTGTTATTCATGACATTTATGGAACTCTTGGTATGAGGGATCCGAAACAGAGGGGTCTGGCTGCTCATTCACGGAGTAGGAGGGAGAATAGCAACATTGATGCAGAGACATAGAGATAGGGAAAATAACGCAGCGCCCAGAGAACTGAATATTATTTATCTTTTTTACTTGCTGAGAAAGATTTAAGTTTTAATGAGCTATTTGTTCATTCATCTTTGTAAAGTTGGCTAATTGCAGCCTTGTTGCAGGACTCAAATTTCAGTTTCTGTAAGTCATTGTTTATTACGGGTAACATGTAACTGCTAGTTTTTATTGTCAACTTGACACAACCTCCTTACCCAGGAATTTCCCAGATCAGATTGACCTGTGGCCATGTCTATAAGAGATTGTCTTGATTGGTGGTTGATTTGGAAGTGCCTAGCCCACTGTGGGTGGCATTGTTCCTAGGCAGGTAGGTCTGGGTTGTATAAAAAAGCTAGCTAAAGTGTCTGTTTTCTCTTTTCTCCTGCTTCTTGATCTGAAGCCATGAAACTCTCTGTCTAGCTTTGAGGACTCCTTGTGCATTGTGTGCCAATTTATGCTAATGAAAATTTGTTTGTAGACTTCTGGCAAGATGCTACCCCAGTTTTATGAGTTGTAGGTAGGGACAGGCTTCTTTGAATTATTCAGATTCATGCCTGACTTTTTTTTTTTAATTATTTACTCTCTTATCTCTTCTGAACTCGGGACACATTTCTTACTCGGAGCACTCTCACTCCCCCTCCCCCCCAGTAGAGAACCATAGAAATGCGTGTGAATGGAAGAGCCAGCATCATTTCAAGTGCAGACTTTGGGGAATCTAACCATGATATTAATTTGGAACATTTGCTCCTTTATTGAACTTTTTTTTTCTTCTGGCTTAAGTGGAGGAATGAAGCTGTAAATTTGGGTGATTAAGGCAGCCTTGATACCAACGCCTCAGGATGGCACACCCCTTAAAAGTTGGGCACATGCCTATAGATAGAGTTTTTACTCTTTCAAAGTTTTAAAATGAGTTTTCTCTTCTGTATATGCTTATTAACTTTTGGGGTTATGATTTTAAAAAGACTTTTCAAACTTTAAAACTGTAGTGAAGGCATTTTTTTTTTACATAAAAGTTTTTTAAATATTTAAAAAAGAAAAGAGAAAGAAAGCCCGCTGAGCAAGTCAGAGAGCAGGCTAGTCAGCAGCGGCTGTCGTGGGTCCTGCTGGGAGTTCCTGCTAAGTTCCTGCCTTGACTTCAATAATGGAGTGTGACCTAGAGGTACAAGCCGAATGTACCCTTTTCTCCCCTAAGTTGCTTCTGTTGGTGTGTTTGTCACAACAGAAAGCAAACCAGAACTATAACTGGTTTAAATCTTTAAAGTTTTAATTATTTAGCTTACTTATTGACAGTGCTAGGAATTGACCCCAGGGTTTTGTGTGTACTAGACAAGTTCTCTGTCAATGAGCTACATCCCAGCCTTTAAGTTTTTAATTTTTTTACATGTATTCGTTTATTTGTATATGTTTGCATGTGTCTGTGTATGTGAGTGTGCATGTGCTGTACACAGCAGACATGCGGCAGTTAAAGGACAATTTGTAGGACTAGGTTTTATCCGCTATGTAGGACCCTCTGGTCCCCAGGCTTGGCAGCAAGCCTCTACTCACGGAGACATCTCACTGCCTCCAGCATTTCTTTTTGTATTGATAGCAAGGAAAAATCTACAGCATGAGTTTACTTGCCCCAGTAACAACTGTGGTAGACTCTGAATTATAGCACAGACAATGGAATTGGCTTTTTATAGAGCAGGATTCAGATCCTTAAAATAGTTTATGTGGATGGTCAGAAGGACATTAGGATTATCATTCGAATGTGTTTTTTCATTTTGTTTGGTTTTGGATTTTGATTTTTTTCCAGTGTTCTGTTACTTTTATTTTCTTGAGCAGCTCAATGTCTTGGTTTAGAAATTTGGGTAGATAATTTATGTACTTGATTGTCTTTATTCTTAGTAATCTACTTTAAATCAGTTTCTATTACATTTATTTATTGGCATATATTTATTAGTGTGTGTATGTGTGCCAGGTACATGATATGATTGAAGACAGTTTTCTTTCTTTTTCTCTTTTTTCCTTTTCTTTATTTTCTTCTTCTCTCTCTTTTTTTTTTTTGTTTTTTTTTGTTTTTTGAGACAGGATTTGGCTGACCTAGAACTTGCTTTGTAGACCAGGCTGTCCTTGAACTCATAGAGGTCCGCCTCCCTCTGCCTCTTAAGTGCTGGGACTAAAGGCGTGCGTCACTATGACTGCCTCAGAGGACAGTTTTTGAGTGTCAGATCTCTCCTTCCTCCCTGTGTGTTCTAGGGACTGAATTTAGACTTGGTGTCAAGTGCCTTTACCCAGTGAGCCATTTTAAGCCATTTTAAAATCAATTTTTAAATAAAAATTACTTTTAATTGTGCAGTTCGATTGTAAATATAGCCATCTAAGGGTTAATATTAGTCCCAGAGTTGAGTTTCAATAACTGTTAGTTGTAATAAGTGCCAATCTGGTTCCCAAATTAAATGGCAGTGGTAAATGGTAGATAATAGTAAAACATGTTTAAAATCAGAACCAACTAGAGATTTTCTTGAAGATAAGAGAAAGGTCTAATTTTAATTAAAACAAAAACTACACAGAGAAGGAATCACAGGTGATACATCTCTTGATTTGTAAAGTGTAGTTGTCAAGAATGAACCATGGTTTCTTTGCTTGGTGCCTAGCAGAGCATCACCCATAAGGCATGCATACCTATGAGAGAGAGATTAACTGATACGAAGCACTAGTGTTCACTGATAGTTTCTAACTGGCTCCTCCCATCCCAGGGCTTTACTGGTTTCTTTGCTGCCGCACCTGGTGACATTTGTCCCCAGATTTGTGCTGGTCGTGTCTTACCCCACCACCCCTGGGTCCCAACAGTACCGAGATGGTGGCATTACTGACACAACGCCTTGTTGCCTTCTGCTCTCTTCCTGCTGGAATCTCTTCAGTCCTTACTTTTTCTGGTTTTATTCCTCAACTTCCCCGTCACACTGCTTCCCTCCTGGACATTTACTCTTCTTTAGATCCTTGGACATAGGGAGTTTGAGACCATTGTGTGATGGCGGCTAGTGTGACCTGTGGGACTTGTCTTCTAGTGGGAGCTGTTGATTGTGTGAAAGAAAAAGGAAGTGTGGCATGGAGCTGGAGAGATGGCTCAGTGCTTAAGAGCCCTGGCTACTCTTCCAGAGGACCTGGGTTCGATTCTAGCCCAACATGGTGGCGTACAGCAGTTTGTTACTCGAGTTTCAGGGCTGCTGCTTCTGTCTTCTGGTCTCCAAGGGCACCAGGCTCTCATGTGGTGCACACATACATACATAGGCAAATACACTCTCAAACACAGTAAAATAAATAAATCCCTCCCCCTCCCCTAGCTTGGTAATAGGATTGGAGCTATGGAAGAGCTCCTAAAGGCCCCACGGGCCACTGTCTCCTGACATCTGCAGCATTCTGCTCTCCAGCCTCAAACTGCAGGCGAACCTCTTTGTTTTAGGACAGGCTTTGTTGACCACAAATGTTTTACATTGCATCAAATCTGGCCTCTGCTTTTACTTGATGACATTGGTTATCTCTCAAAGCAGGATGGTTTAAGTCTGTTTTTTTCCCACCACCAGCTCTCTTCATATTCCCATGGACAGTCACCAGACTTTCCTTGGATTTAGATTAGTTTTTCTTGTTCAACTCTTTCATGAGTTGGGTACCAGCTCCCCAGAGATCCACTTACAGAGACCTATAAGCATGCTAGAGGCTCACAGTCTGGGAGGGGAGACTATAGCCT